AATATAAGTATGTGGGGTTCCTCGGTAGCGTAATCTCGCTGTCGGGTCTCAGGGGAGGGGAAGGGGCCGATACCGTTGCCTGTCCTGGAGATCGCTACGGTCGGAAGATTTGGTTTCGCGCGTCGCGCCGCCGGTTCTGGCCCACCACGCTTCGGCGCGACCTCCAGTCCACTTCCTGGGCCCCCCAGCGCCAGTGTCCCGAGCGTCTGCCGACCCCCCACCCCGCAGAGCGCAGCGCCACGCTGCCCACGCGCAGGGCAGAGCGCGTCGCCGGGGCCGCCGCGGAGGCACGCTGTGCAGAAGTGCCCGTGGCCGAAGCAGGGCACGGCCAGCGCCACAGACGAGAGAGCGCCGTCCCGGCAGGCGCCCCCTCGGGGGCACCTCAAGTCGGGCCGGACGAAAGGGGGGGATTGGGAAAGGGGGGGGGTCCGAAATCTGCTGCATGCAGCTGGTTTCGGCCCCACCGAGGGGCCCATTCCTAGATACATGGCCGCCTCCGGCGCCGGGAGGCGCCGGGAGAACCAGCTACGTGAGAATTCTCACCCCCCCCCTTTGCTATCCCCCCCTTTTGCCCGATCCGATCAAGACACCCGCGCCGGCTCGAAGGTGTGTTCCCGCATGGAGGCCGCGGATCTGGTGGGGAAGAAACGGAGAGCGCACCCCTGCGGCGCTGGTGGAGTGGTGATGCGACCATTAGCATGGCCGTTAGGGGCGAGTGTACCACCATCACACAGCAGCACCCCTCAAAGCCCTTCGCCGCCACCAACAAACATCAATCTGGTACCATTCCTCTCGTGATCATCTCCTCTTTCATTCCTGCCTCCGCTGGACAGGAGCAGATCTACGACCAGCTCATCCGCATCAAAGAGCGGAGTGGCCCCAGTGGCGGCTCAGTCGACGCCGCCTGTGCGTTCGCAGCCCGCTGCAATGCAAACAAGTACTACACGCAGTTGAAGAAACTCACGCACAAGCAGCTGGACCACATAGTGTCGAGGTTTGGCCTGCAGGACGAGAAGGAGAGGGGAACGGAGCAGGAGAGGGCAGGGGTCGACGAGGCGGCGCAGGGGAAGGTGGATGAGGAGGAGCGGGAACGGGGGGCAGGAATTGGAGGAAGGGAATGGGAAGGATCATGGGAAGTAGCAGGAGGGGAGAGGGGATGGAGGCGGAGCAGGAAAGGAAGAAGGAGGAGGAGGAGAAGAAGGAAGAGACGGAAGTGCGAAGAGGAAAGGAGGAGGAGGAGGAGAAGGGAGACTACAGGGAGAGAAAGCGGAGGATCAGGAGGAGGACAACGAGAGGCAGGCTAACGAGGGGGAGGGGGAAGGAGCTGGAAGGTCAGGAACAAGAGTTGGGGGATGACAGTGTAGGAGGATGAGCATGAGGGGGATGCAGGAGAAAAAGTGTAGAGGTTGACGAGGAGAAGGAGCAGTGGGAAATGGAGCTGGAGAAAGTAGGAAGCAGGGGGTATGGACAACGAAGAATGGAAGGCTGACGGGTGGGGAAGCGGGGGATAACGACGAGGGAGAACGGAGAAGGGACATGGCACAAGGACGGAGGGAAGAGGGAGGCGGCTCGAGGGATGAGTGTTTTCATCGAGGCGGGGGAATCGTTTGTCGAGCATGTGCTGGCCGTGAGGCTGAGTCGGACGAGTGTGCCTCTAGCAGCAGGACAGGAGCGCGGTCCATTGACTCAAGCACCATTCCCTGATGGACCACTGGTAATTATAAGGAGCGATCGCAGTGCGCTCGCACGTTGCCATAAGTCGGTGGCCTTAGGCCTATCCTGCCATCGCGCCTGGGTCGTTGGCAAGAGGCCTCGTAGGCGCACCGCGGGGTCTCTCGGAACGCCTCCGGGAGCCTTTGGAGGGCCTGCTTGGGGTCTCGTTGGGGTTTCTTGGAGTCTCTTGGGGGTCTCCTGGAACCTTCTGGGCGCCCTTTGTAGGCCTGGGGGCCGTGCCCCCCATCTTGGGGTGGAGAGTCCCCCATCTTGGATCCATATCGGGAAATTCCGGGGGGGGGGGGGGGGGGGGGGGCGATTGAGCCCCCTTGAGCAGCTCGAGAGCCGTCTTAGAGTGACCGTTGGGGCCGCTTGGGCCATCGTGGATACTCCTAGAACCGAAAGGCGGCATGCGAAAACTCTCTGTGGGCTTCGGCTTCTGGCTGGCCCCAAGGGCCTCAAAGACGGCCCAAGAGGCCCCTAATGGAGCTCTGTTTCAGTTGGGGCGGGACGGACGCGAAAATCTCCTGGTACAGTCCCTGTGTTCCGCACGTCTCATGTCGGATTGTGCGCTCATCGCAGGTAGTCACAGATCGCACCGAGTGGGACGAGTGATGCGTCGATCTCTGAGGATTCGTGCTCTCCCTTTTCCCCTTTGCGGCACCTGGACCATGACGGCGGCGAGGGGGACTAAGTTTGAGGGTGAGGTGTTCGGAATCTGTTCCGCATCATTGTTCACCGCCACCGAGGCGAGCAACCTCCGAAGGTGGAGCGGAGGAGCCGCACGCGGATTGGATCCGCCGCGCAACCCGGGAAGTCCAGGCCTCGGAACAAATTAGCGAACACATGCCACATTCATGCGTCAACGCTTCCCCCTCCCCCCAATGTTCAAAGTTGGCGGTGGGTCTGATGCGATGCACTTCGACCGCAGTCTCCCCCGCGCGTGCCAACATTGAGTTTGGGGGGAGAGGGAGTGTTCAGTAATTGTTCCCCTCTACCGTAGTGGGAAATTCGGGAAGGCTGGTTCTCAGACTTGGGGGCAGCCACCGAGGCGTCGCAGTGCCGCTCTGCTGCAGAAGAGACCGCCGGCACCGCCGGCTCTGGCTCTGCCTTTCTTGGGCGCCCGCCGGGCGCGGTGGCGTGCGCCGGGCTGGCCGCTGAAACGCTGGACAGACGATTTTCAGGAGGGGGAAAAACACACAGACACAATTAATCTTCGATTCCCCAGAACATGTGGGAAGATATGGGAAGTGGGGGGGGAAGACGAAAATCCAAAAGATATTGCGAAATATGGGGATGTTTTTATTTGTGTGTATTTATTTGTGTATCCCAGGGCCCCTTTAGTCAAGGAAGAGGCGAATTGTAAGAATGCTGCGAGGAGCAGCGTTCTGAGGCCCGCGCAGGGCGCGCTCTGGAGCACGCCTGCCTGCCTGCCAGCCTACCAGCCGACCCTCTGCCCTCACTCCCTCCCCTCCCCCTCTCCCCCCCCTCTCGAAGGCAAGGACGGCCACATCGAACCCTCTCAGGGCATGTTGGAAGCGTGAAGTCCGAGCCACGTTCGCGAGGCCTCTGGAAGAGTCTCGGGCCGGACGAAAGGGGGGGAGTGGGAAAGGGGGGGTTACGAAATTTGCTGCATGCAGCTGGTTTCGGCCCCACCGAGGGGCCGATTCCTCGATACATAGCCGCCTCTGGCGCCGGGAGGCGCCGGGAAAATCAGCTACGTGAGCTGATTCTCAAACCCCCCCTTTTGCTATCCCCCCCTTTCGCCCGGCCCGAGAGTCGTGCGGGAAGAGCTGTGCGGGAGAGCCGCAGGAGCGCCCGGGAGGTGCCCAGCGGTGCGCGGGGCCTGCAGGGAGTATCGAAGTTGATCGGGAGGGAAAAAAACACACAGACACAATTAATCGTCGATCGCCTAGAAAATATGGGAAAATATGGGGAGTGGGGGGGAAGACAAAAACTCCGAAAATATAGGAAAAGATTGGGAATCTTTTTATTTGTGTGTATTTATTTGTGTGTCCCAGGACCCCTTCAGTGGAGGGCTCTGAGGAGTCCGGGGGCGCCCTGCCCAGTGCCTGCGGCACCGCGGCGGGTGTTATGGTAAGAGGGCAGCCTGCACGCAGGTGCCCCGCGCTCGGGATAGGTGCGAGGTCTCCACAGGGCCCTGGGATAGGTGTGAGTAGGGGCTCTGAGTACGGGCCCTGGGATAGGTGTCAGTAGGTCTCCGGAGGGCCTCGAGATAGGCTATGAGCAAGCTCTGGATAGCTGTCTGGAGGGCCCCGGGATGGGCTCTAAGTAGGCTCTGGATAACTCGGGGAACAAAAAGTGGCATAAGCATAAAAACTCGGAGGTCCGCGCGGACCTCCGAGTTGTTTATGTTGGTGTCACTTGTTTTGTTCCCCTATATATACACATATGTATACATGTCTATATACATATATATATATATAAATACATACATACATACAAGACTGCAATGGCGCTTCGCGCCATACACCTTGGTCCTTGAAGTTTGGTATGCAGGCGGAATAGCAGGAAGGTCAAGCCGACAATTTAGCGATAACTCCTGGTTGCCTTTTCTAGCATCGCCGCTATTTCTAATGTGATTCGTTATCCTTCCTCCATGCTTAGTTTTCCTTATTTTCGCCATGCCCTGCGCATTCTCCCCATTCTCCTCAGCTCTTTTTTGCGGAGGCTCCTCCTTGGAGAGCCTCTGGGGGCCTCACAAAAGTTGCTTCAGGCTTTCTTAAGGCCTTGGAGACCTCTTGGGCGTATTATGAAGGCCTCTGGGGGCTTCCTCTGGCCACCGTGCCTCCAACCGCGGTCTCCCTGAACGACGGCCCGTCTGGAGGGTCTCAAAGCCCCAGATCCCGGGAGTCCGGTTTTGGGGGGGGAGGTGACGGGTTTTCCCCCCGCCCAGGTTTATAATAATATAGGAAGGGGAATATGTCTCACCCCCCGATGACCCCAGGGGCCCACAGACGCCCTGCGGCACCGTCATCACCGCAAAGGTTGGCGCAGAGTGCGCCCCAAGATCTCTGGTTGCAGGATGTTGTGCCGTATGTAATGCTTGCACGCAGGTAAAAGGTGTCGTTGAAAGGCGGAGGTGGGGCCATCCTTCTTCCGCACGTCTTCTTTCTCGTCGTCCGATCTCTCCTGCTCGTCCGCATCCTCCCTGTTACACTCCGCATCCGCCTTCTCACTCGCCCTCCTCTCCCTGTTCCTCTCCCCCACCTCCCCCTGCGCTACGCTCCAGGTACGACGAGGAAAAGCTGGACGTCCAAACGCTGATGGAGGATGCGGTGCCCAGTCTATTTCAGAGCAGCATGTTTTCGTGCATCGGATGAGTGTTGCCTCGGACTTGGAATCTGGGGGGGACGAGGAGGAGGAGGAGGAGGAGGAGGAGGAGGAGGAGGAGAGGGCAGGGATGAGGATGAGAAGGAGAAGCAGGGCAGGGTAGAATGAGGAGGAGGTGCGAAGCAGAGAGACGGGAGCAGGGGTGGGAGGGGAGCAGGGGGGAGGAGGTGGTGGAGGAACAAAGGGAGCACTGCTTCCAGGACCAACACGTTGACTAGCCTCATCGCGTTGAAACAATGACTTCTTGCAACGGCTATCGCAACATGTTGTTATCATGATCATATTTTCAGTCATCAGCTGCTGCAAATTCCAGGATGTTCGGGTAGGTCCCTCAAGGGACTGTCGTAGAATCGAGAAGCTTCGAACATAAAGTGTACCCACACACACGTCCCCCGAGAGTTGGCTTTGCCGGGCGAAGACAGAGTTGGTCGGGGGAAAGCGGCGGCGAAGCCGAACTTCAGTATCGCTGGGAAAAGTACGAATCGAAGTTGCTATCTTCTCATGCCGAGTACCAACACTATCACGAACGCATGGCAGGGGTATGTGACTCTCACCGTTGCAGCCCTCTTAACTCACGAACGTCAGGCAGGTCTTGGAGATTATCACAAATTCAATTCCCCCAGTACCCCCCCCACCCGTCCACCACGCACACAACAGGTGGGACCAGATAAGTGTTCGGCGTTGGCAGCATATCCGTACATTTGTAGGCAGGCGATCGACCGCAAGCTCACCTCAGAAGAAGATGGATGCGCGCGCGCTGCACAGTGGGCGTACTGGCACCAAGACGACGATCTGCTCTTGAAAGCAGAAGAGCTTGTTTAGGCTTCGCTGCTGAACTGGCAATGTGCGTTTCTGAGTTCGCACTCGCATCTTCTGAACACAACCGCATGTACCCAGATCGTGGTGCCAGACCTGAGCATTTATATCTGCATACATGCATACAAACATACATGCTTAAATGTAAATACAAATCCACATATGTATATACATATAAATATAACAATGCACACATACATCGCGAGAGCGATGGCATATATGTACTCATGTGTATATGTTCATATATATATATATATATATATATATATATATATGCTTACTTAGTCAAGTATGTACTTACCTACGTGCATGCGCACATGTTTACATGCCCATACTTATAACTATATATATATGCAACTATATATATATAGAGAGAGATGTATCGAGGGACGAAGTCCAGGGGCCCGCCCAGGGACCTTCGCACGCCATGGGTGGCTCGGGGCCCCGAGACGGCCCACTAGAGTTCGAAGAGCGTTCACGACACGTTCCCGGACAGCACCGGGGGCTCCCACCGCCTGGGGCCCCCCAAACGTCGGGGGCGGAAAAGAGGGGGGTGATGACTAGGGGTGGGTGGATATCATGGCTGGGGCCATGATATTTCCCCAGATTTCATGGCGCCTTTTCTTATTTCATTACGTCCCTTGACCCCCCCCCCTTGGCCGCGCACATGCCGCCGGCCATGATTTGCACCCCCCCCCTCTTGGACGCCCCCCTCTTGGCCGCCCCCGACAACGGGTTGGTGACCACACCGTGTGGTGAGTCGGTGGGACTCGGGGACACCGCACGGTTATGAGACTCGAGCCCCTCTCCGAGGGTGCCTCGGGCGACAGGGGCCTCAAGGGTCCCAAGGCCGTGCGGTGACGGACCGTACGGGGAAGTCTCTCGGGGTTCCGCGGTCACCGCACGGTCTGTCACCACACGGTTTGGGGATCACCAAACCACGCATGCACACCGCCGAAAGAGCGCTCCAAGACGGCCCACGATAACTTCAGGCTGCCAGCAGGGCCCCACAATTGCCCACGGGGGCCCGGGCACTGGCCAAGAGCCACCCGAGACGGCCAAAGGGAGCCCGAAGAGAGCCCCCAGACAGTGCAGGAGGCTCCCAATACGCTGCAAACCGTCCCGAGACGGCCCAAGATGATTTCCAGACGCTCAAGGGGCGCCCCTGGAAGCCCAAGACGTCCACAAGAGGCTCTTCCAGAGCGCCGAAAGGACAAATCATGTTTTTTTCCTTTGGTTTTTGAAAGATTCTGAGCTTCTGATTTTCTCTGCTTCCCGACCGCCCGACCGCTTCTGGGTGCTGCCCATTGTAGGCCCAAGGACGCGCCAAGAGCCCCCCAAAGGCGGCCGAAGGAAGCCAGAGAAGAGCCCATGGACAGCGCAGGAGGCTCCCAACACGCCCCAGGAGCGCTCCAAGACGGCCCTAGATGACATCCAGACGCTCGAGGAGCGCCCCTGGAAGCCCAAGAGGTCCACCAAAAGCCCCTCCAGAGCGCCGAAATAATGACATAACAGAATTGCTCTGGTGGTTTTTGAGAGATTTGAAGCTTATCGTTTTTGTTCTGCTCCCCCACCGCCTCTAATGTTTGCCCCCCGCCGCCCAAGACGGCTCAAACGGCTTCTTAGACCGTCCATGGGAGCTTCAAGGGGCTGCCAAGAAAGCCCCACGACTACCCACGAGGGCCCAGGAACGGGCCAAGAGCCGCCAAGACGGCCAAGGGGGCCCCGAAAAGAGCCTCCAGAGAAACCACAGGGAATGTACGAAGCTCCGAGACGACTCAAGAGTGCTCCAGAATCCTCCACGACAGCCGACGGCGCAGGAAGCGCCCCAAGATCTCCTCAAGAGCGCCCCAAAGCCCTTCCAGAGAGCCAGAATAAGCCCAAATCTGTTATTTTCACTAGGTCGGGATCCCGACAGCCCCCTCTGTCGGGATCCCGACAGCCCCGAAGGCTCCCAAAACCTGACCTCGAAGCCCCAAGAACTGCCAAGAGCGCCACACGACTGCCCACGAAGGCACATGGACGGCCCAAGAGACTACCCAAGACAACCAAAGAGGGCCCCACAATGATTCCAAAGGGAGCTTCAGAGGAGGGAGCTTCCAGCCAAGACGCCGCACGACCGCCCCAAGAGCACTCCAAGGCTCCTACAGAAAGCCGACAGGAGCCAAAATCATCAGTGTCCTCAGGTTTTTACAGGTTTTCCGATCCTATGCTGCGCCCGTCCAAGATGGCCCAAAAGATTCCCAAGACAGCCCCTGGAACCGCCAAGAGGCTGAGAGGGCCCCACGAAGGCACGCACGGTGGGGGCATTCCGTAAGGAATGTGCCCAGAGGCTTCAGACTCTGGAGGATTCCTTACCTGATTAGGGCTGCGGTGGTATCAGTGGGCGATCCACACTTTGAGTCCCACCGGTTTCCAGACTTTGGCTTCCTTATCCCAGGGTTCCTTGTCCAATGCCCCCACCGTATACAAAAGAGGGCCCCACAAGGATTCCAAGGGGAGCCACACAGGAGGAACGGCGCTCCTCGACGGCGCAAGCGCGCTCCAGAATCCTCAGCGACGGCTTCCGGACAGCTCTGGCAGGGCTCGTTTCGATTCCTCCGGTTCGACCCGATTCGATCTCAATGGCTTCCGATCCCAATTCGATCCGACTGGGGATTCCGAGTTGGGCTCCGATTTCTTCGGGGGCGGACAGAACCCCCACCCTGACGCGTCGATTAGTGAATTGTCCTTCTTCGGTTCTCGAGAGGGCGCCGCGGCCGTCATTTTCCAGGCTTGCGCCCACCAGGTTTGGGCCGAGGTCGTTTTCACTAAACCACGTTTTGCTAAAGGGAGGTCTGTCCATCCCCGAGTTCTCCCTGGAGACACACTAGCTCGCCGATGTCCGCCGATTCGGCTCATGTCGATCACCGGACCGATTTCTCGATTCGATTCTAGGCCCTCCTGCTCTGGGGGCCCTCAAGACGCCGCACGGCCTCCCTAAGAGTGCTCCAAGGCTCTTGCAGAAAGCCGACAGGAGCCAAACTCATCAATTCCCGCAGGTGTGTACAGATGTCGGAAACTGGAACGTATACATTACCAGTGGCGGGCTGCTTCTTGCATCCCAGGACTTTTTGAGGGTCGGGGACGAGGCTGGGGTGGTGTGGTGTATTCTTTTTCCCCGATGTCCCACGAAAACAACGAAAAATGTATACACCAGGATCCCGTCTTCACCAGAATCCGCGTTCCTGTGCGAATTTCAGCGCAGAGTCGGGAAAAGCGTCGGTGTATAGAGTTCGTTTCCCTAAGATGTTCCGATCCGGGCCACCGACTGCTCAAGACGGCCCAAAAGATTCCCAAGACCGCCCTTGGGACCGCCAAGAGGCTGCCAAGAGGGCCCCACGACAGCCCAAGAGGACGGCCCCAGTGCCACCCAAGACGGCCAAGGAGACCCAAGGGGGGCCCCAAGAGGGCCGCAAAATATGCCACAGAGGAGGAACGCCAATTGACATTTCGAGCCTGTCGACTTCGAATGGCCTCAAAGACCCCAAACATATCTCCAAGAGGCACCCCACCGACCTCGAGAGAGCCCCATGAGACACAAGAGGGCGCCCAAGATGAGCCCCACGAGGGCACCAGGAGGCGAACATGACAGAGCTGCCTGCCGATTTCTGCTGCAGTTCAACGTTCTTGCCGTTTCGTCTGTTTCGCGCTCGACGATTGCAGACTACGCCCCCAAAGATCTCCTCAAGGCAGCCGAGGTGGTCCCTCCTCCTCCTCCTCCTCCTCCTCCTTCTCCACCTCCTCCTCCCCCTCCTCCTCCTCCTCCTCCTCTTCCTCCTCCTCCCCCTCCTCCTCCGCCTCGTCCTCCTCCTCCTCCGCCTCCTCCTCCTCCTCCTCCTCCTCCTCCTCCTCCTCCTCCTCCCTCCTCCCTCCTCCCCCTCCTCCTCCCCCTCCCTCCTCCTCCTCCCCTCCTCCTCCTCCTCCTCCTCCTCCTCCTCCTCCTCCTCCTCCTCCTCCTCCTCCTCCACCCCTCCAGGGGGGGGGGACGGGGGCAACCGAAGCCCCCCCCCTCGGGGGAGGGGGGGAAGGGCGGCTCGCGGGCCCTGGGGTGGTCGAGTCGTCCTCCACACGCGTGCGACGACGC